CCCGCTGTGCTTACTGACAGGAATTATTAGACTAACAAGTTCAAAAATGACTGCAGAGAAAGAGGGGAAGAGGTAGAGATTGAGGGGAAGGTAAGAGGCATTTTGTAATTTATCAAGATGAGTAAAATAATGTACACCTTGTTTTCAAACTAACAAACACACTCTAGGAAGAGCCCTTAGCAGTGCTAGAGATAAGACAATTAGAATTGATAATACAGTAAAACCTCAATACAATGGACAAATTCGAGCGAGGGGTGTCCGTTAAAGCCAAAAGTACGTTATAATAAAGTAGGTTTTCCAAATGCATGTTAAAAAAATTGAGAAATTTGCCCAGCCGGGCGTGGCTCAGCGGTTGAGCATCGACCTAGGATCCAGGAGATCAGGGTTCGATTCCCGGTCAGGGGCACATGCCCAGGTTGCGGGCTGCAGCCGATCAATGACTTTCTCATCATTGATGTTTCTACCTGTCTCTCTTCCTCTCTCTGAAATCAATAAAGATATCTTTAAAAAAATAAAATAAAAAAATAAATTTTTGAGAAGTTAGTTTACCTGTTTTTACTTATATAGACATGTTTGTGTAATTAAAATTAAGTATGTATGAAAAGTTTAATTTCACAGAAAAATTTTCTATATGTATCACCGTAATTTTAAATTTATACTAAATAGGTCTAGTAAATGCCTGCATTCACCAGTTACCTCAAGTAAACAAATGCACACAGCTTGGGCCTGGCTTAGCGCACTTCGGGAACATCCAGTTGAAACTACTACTGAACATTGTTTGCCAGAAGTGACTCTTGGATTTAAATATGTCGACTATAGTTGTAGATATGTAATATTTATGTTGGCAAAATTACTACAGTGTTTGTCCCAACATATGGCCTAACTGCTAAAATTTGTTAAAAATAACAGAGTTAATAACAAAAAAAATAGCCTGTTGCCCTGACCAATGTGCTCAGTGGTTAGAGCGCTGCCCAAGCATCAAAAGGTCACTGGGGCTCCATTCCTGGTCAAGGGCATGTACCTGGGTTGCGGGTTCACTCCTCACCCCTGGTCGGGGGTGACTGCCAAAGGCAACCAGTGTATGTGAGAGAACATCAACGCCAATGTCTGTCTGTCTCTTTCTCTCCCCCCTCCTCCCCTTCATCCCTTTCACTCTCTCTGAAAAAGCAATGGGAAAAAATATCCTCAGGTGAGGATTAACAAAAATAAGTAAGTGAAAATAACCTGTTAGTTTAATTATAAGCAAAATCTTGGTTAAAAGCATTTTAAAATTAACAGGGTGTTAATTTCCACATGACATACGGACCGGAAATTTTGTCTATTAAATCCAAAGTTCATTAAATTGAGGGTTTACTGTATCAACATCATCATATTCTTTTTTGTTAATTCTCACCCAAAGATATTTTTTCCATTGCTTTTCAGAGAGAGTGGGGGAGAGAGAGAGAGAGAGAGAGAGAGAGAGAAACACTGATGTGAGAGAGACACATCAGCTGGTTGCCTCCCCGAGTCCCGATGGGAGGCGTGGAATGAACCCAAAACCCAGGTACTTGCCCTTGACCCTTTGGTGGGAGAGCCAACCCTCTAACCACTGAACCATACCAGCCAGGGCATCAACACCCTCACATTCTAACCTTACTCAACATGAGTGATCTTTCAACATGCGAATCTACCTTCCCGCTGTACAGAATCCTGAATAAACTCTCTAATGGCTTAGAATGAAATCCAAATTCCCTTGGCTAATAAAACCCTTCAGCAATCTGCCCCCTGCCTAGGTCTCCAGCCTCCATTCTGGGCTCTTTGCTCCACCACACCATACCATGAGATAATCTCATGACTTCTCCAACCCTCCCAAAAGACTGTGCTCCTGAGAAACCATTTCAAGTCTCCAAGACCCAACAGAGTATTTGGCACACAATAACCCTCAAATGTTTATTGACCGAGAGCAAGGTACTGGTGAACCCAAAGACTTCTGAGACCATTCATTGTTCCATGGTTGTTAACCATTAAATTGATTTTGACAAAACAAGAGTGCTTAAGGCTAAATGAAAGAAAGGTGGGTCCATGATAGGATTAGATCCACCTGGCTTAGAGACCATACCCTACATCTTGAGTTCCCAACCTGCCGGACAGCCTGAGCCAAGGATGGAGCACACCTCAAAGGCTAAGCAAGGTTAATTTTTCTGCCCTTCCTAATACCAGGTTTCACTCTATCTGTAATTGCCATAGAAGTTAAATTTAGTCAATTGGTTGGGTTTTTTTGGTTAATCCTCACCCGAAGATATTTTTTTCCATTGATTTTTAGAGAGTGGGAGGGAGGGAAGGAGAGAGAGAAAGAGAAAAACGTTGACGAGGGGGAAAGAACCTGCAAACCAGGTACATATCCTTGACTGGGAATTGAACCTGCCACCCTTTGGTGCACTGAGCCACACAGGCCAGGGTAATCTACTGATATTTTATGCTGTACCCAAATCCACTGAAATTACATCAAGAAGGATTAATAACAAGATTAAATTGCATGAGCAAAACCCCACATTCACCTTATTTACATGAGCCATATTCAGTATTCTCACACCAAAGAAAAAGCTTTTCAATTCACCATTAAATTTTGTAAAAATCCCATGCCCTTCCAAGAGCTCTTCAAGGTCCACACTGAAAACACTTGGCCTGGAGCACTTAGCCCAAGAGTTCCCCAGGGTAAATAGCCAAATACTACAGCCTCATTTCTCAGGTCCACATAAGAAACCACTGGGCGGACTTAAAGACAAACCCACTTTCCTTGAGGCTTTGTTTTTACTGCTTTTGTAAAATAACTTTTCTCTAGGGACAGCCCATCTTCCCTCCACCCCAAATAAAGACTTTTTCTCCACTCTTCCACATGCAGAAAGAACTACTCACCTTTTAAAGCCCAGAGCTCCAAAACCTAAAATGTAAACTCTAAGAGGGCAGAGATCTTTGTTTTGTTACTGGAGAATCCCAAGCAACTAGAATACCGCCTGACACAAACTAGGCCCTCAATAAATACTTGTTCAAAACCTGATTGAATAAGTGGATGAAGCTTAACAATATGGCCAGTAATATTAAGTAGTGTTCGCTCTACTCTAATGAAGAAAGAGGAGACAAGAGACTGACTTGTATTTGCTTCTGTTTCCAACAGACTCATGTTCAACTTGCGCACACACACACACACACACACCAGCTGGAAAAATTTCATTACCCCTCTCAAAAAAAACCACATTAATATAAAATGAATGAGTGGGTGTAAACCTCCTCTGTGAAGCACTCCTTATTCCCTTTGCAAATGCTCAGAAACCCTCCTGTGTGCTCCCTTTGGGGAACTAAATGTTTAACCTGCAAAACAACCCCTACCCCACCAACCAGAACTCCAACATTCTGGAAACCATAACTTTAGTGAAAAGCTATATCAAAACCAAATTCTTATTTCCTGGTTCTTATTTAGAGTGGTTCAAAGTACAAGGACACAATCCCTAAATTTACAACTAAAATACATACATCTGTGTCTCCCAAGCATGCAATCCACATTCTACTGCAGTGATTCTCTAACCTGGATGCACATTACAATTACTTGAGGAGATTTACAACTGTGGAAGAAGAGACCATACCCTAGCCCAATAAAATCAAGAGTGGGTTAGGACGAAGTGTTTTAAAGCTTTCCAAGTAGTTCCAAAGTGCCACCAAGTTTGAAAACTACCTCTCCAGGGAACTTTAGGCCACCTCCCTGCCCAAGACTTGGTACTTGGTCTTCTGTGTTTACATGAAGTAGACCTCTGGGAAGACACTAGAGATCTTAAAGAACATTGTCTTTTTTTAGTCTCCTTCCACCAAAATTCCCATCCCCAACATCTCAAGCCCCGTGGAAGGGGCTTCACCGGTTGCAAGGCGTTGCAGCCACCTACCTTAAGGCTATAGGTTTCCTCTTCAAGAGAAGCCATTTCTTCTAGCGAGGAGTTGGCCGGGCGCAGAGGGGATCCCCCTGACGAAAGGAAACCCCGTGTGCTCCGAATCAGGCAGCCTTTGGAGGCAGCCCCGTCCACACCTGGGCCAGAGGAATGGGAGGAGGAAGAGGAGGAGGAATTTCTGCGGTGGGCTGAGTCCCAGGGCAACCTCGGTGAGCAGGCCACATCGTCCTCCCTGTGGGCTTTCAGGCGCTTGGGACTTCTGGCCCCTCCCGAAAGCGACGAAGAGCTACGAGCTGACCGTCTGGAGGGGGCCACATCACTGGTCTCCCGGAGGCAGCTGCGCTTGCGGGAACTCCCTTCCGAAGTGCTGCTCCAGTGGTACTTGACCTTGCGCCGCTCCGACGCCATGGGCACCTGCAAGGTAAAGCGAGGACCTGGATTCCAACACCACCCCTCCTAGCTGCCCCTCCTCAGACCCCCGCCATCCCGGGGCCCGCTGGGCGAGGGCAGCCCGAAGGTCAGAGCCAGGAACCAACCTTACTGACCTTTCCCCCTTCTTTCCACTGCCCATCACAGTTCTCTAGGTTTCAGAGATGCCAAAGCGCTTCGGGGAAGTCAAATGCTGCAAGATCTACTAAAGGCTTCGGATCGGTTTCCAAGCCCACAACGTGTTTCCGCGATTACCAAACGCTTCAGTCTGCACAGCGCTACTTCGGAGATGTCAAAGAGCTTCGGGGACTACAAAGCGCTTCGGTTTAGTTTGCAATACAAAGCCCTTCGGAGATGTCAAAGCGCTTCAAGACTATAGGCGCTTTAAGGTCTACACATGGCGGCCGCACCCGCAGCCCTCGGGCGGGCGCGCGGCCCAGAGGCCCGGAACGTCGATGGCGGGCCGCAGGGCAGGGC